AGTACAGCCTCAGAAAATGGGCAGAACGAACCAACGCTAGCTACATAGCTTGGGTCACAGCCAAAACTATGCCACAGAACCAATGGTGCAGACAATGCCACTGTTGCATGATAATGGATGCCACACCACCTTCCCATATTGCCATTGACACTAATGTCACTGGACTCCACGTGCTGTCCCTGACGTCAGTACCACAGCTGTCTCTGAGAACTTCTCTTGCTGTTACTGCCATAGAAATGCCCCCACAGTCCTGTTTCTCTGTATGGTATCTCTAGATTCAAAACCTTGTAAAGTATGTGTGCTCGGCCCAGCTGGCCAAGTCTCATGGGAGATTCCTAAGGCAGAGAATTTTCTAAACTTAAAAAGGCCATATCGATGTTAGTCAGTGAAAAGAAAAAAGAAAAATCTCACCCCTTTGGGTGCCCAACATTAATATCACCTTTTTTCACATTCCCACTTCCCCTCTCCCCATTTCTAATAAATACGATTCAGCTCTGCCTCAAGAACCTGGGTATGCAATTCACAGCTCCCCAAAGGAAAAAAACCCTAAACCTACTCATGACTGGTACAACTCCAAATCTAATATTGATTCTTCCTGTCAATCTTAGCTTCCCATTAAATGGGCTATCACTGGGTTCTTTAATGGAAGAATTTTTATTTAGGTACTAAAGCCTCTAAACCAGCATAGTCCAAAACTTTGAGTACGGGTGTCTTATTAAAGGAAGCCCTACTGGTCCTGTGCGTTGGTTCCTGATTCATTGTGGTTATAGGAAAAAATAATATCATATATTAATTTTTTATTTTGAGAATACGCATCATGTCACAAAGCTCCCTCTCCCCCACACTTTCCAGGTGGGATCCCCTGAGACCATAGCTGAGTCATAACATCCACAAAGTCAGCTTCTTCTGGCAATGGGATTCATGATAAAAGACAAGTCACCTCATGGGCATTGCCCGTAGGCTCTACTTCTTTTGCTGGAAAATGATTTAAAACTGGTTAGAAAAAAATGTGATGTGCAAAATCTGATGGGAATAGAACAGTCAATAAATTAATGGATGATCATGTTGGGAGAAATTTGGTTAGCAGGAAAAGCAAACCCAATATGTCTTTTCCGCTAAAGACAAAACATGACATCCTCCATGTTAGATGGTGGGGCGGGGGGGACCATAAGCAGTTGCTGCTGTGGCAGGCTGAGCACTTAGCAACACACTAGCCCATTCTCCTTTCCCAACAAGGGGAAATCCTTGGTATTGACAGGTGCTTTGCGTATATCCCTGCCACCCATGCCACTTGGAACCAGCAATGGAGTGCCTAGAGAAGCGGTAGGAGTAGAATCCACAGAACAAGAATTCTTATCAAACTTATTTGATGACATAAATATATATCCCTGCCACCCATGCCACTTGGAACCAGCAACGGAGTGCCTAGAAAAGCGGTAGGAGTAGAATCCACAGAACAAGAATTCTTATCAAACTTATTTGATGACATAAATTCGTCAAATGGAATGGCTTTTTGGAAAGCATCCAGTGGGCTATAAGTATGTTTTTATTCTTGGACCACTCCAAGAAACCTATCCCTATACATTTCCTCAAAACTTCCTTGATCCCCAAATCTTACCTTGTTCTGTCTAAGTCCCACCCAATCAAACCTTTAATTTTTTTTCCTGGAAACAGTATAAAATCTTTATCCTAGACTCTCTTCTTTGAAGTATAGTAGACATTGTTATATACCACGAAGAGGATTTACCAGTTCCACTGCCCTTTCCCACAGCAGTGCACTTCTAGATGATGCCAGCATATAATAAAGAACCATCTGTAAGCCAGATTTGAATTTTTTACCCCTTGGTTAACTGTTCAGATGGAACTCCCTGTGAAATCATAGGACTAGATCTATCTGCTGGTAGTGAGAGCCAAAT